GACATATGAACAACAGATACCTTTCCAGTCTGATCATCAAGTAAGTACTAGAAGTAAATTGGAATGGTGGTTAAAAACCTCCATTATAGGTCATGTTTGTATAGCCAGGAAAGGGACAATGTATAACACGTCTGTAGGTGAGCTAACTTGCTTGGGACAAAAAGCCTATAATGTTAATACTAAAAATACTACTTGGTGGTCAACTTCAAATGTCTCGGAACCTACTAATCCGTTTGCCAATTACACTCATTTAAAGGAGGTATGGTTTGACTTATCGGCTACATCTAGTTGGAAAGCCCCAGCAAATTTATACTGGATTTGTGGTAAGAAAACTTATTCGGAGTTACCACAAGATTGGGAAGGGGCATGTGTATTAGGTATGCCAAAGCCATCCTTCTTCTTGTTGCCAATCAAAACAGGAGAGACCTTGGGAGTTAAGGTTTACGATGTAAATCATAAAAGGGAGAGAGCATCCTTGAATATAGGTAGCTGGGAAGATAATGAGTGGCCCCCTCAACGTATTATTAATTATTATGGACCTGCTACTTGGGCAGAAGATGGCACTTATGGATATAGAACTCCGATTATCTATGCTCAACCGCATTATTAGACTACAGGCGGTAGTTGAGATTATTACTAATGAGACAGCTCAAGTGCTTAATCTTCTAGCTAAGCAAAATACCAAGATGTGATCAGCCATATACCAGAATAGGCTAGCCCTTGATTACTTACTAGCAGTAGAAGGAGGTGTATGCGGAAAGTTTAATCTAAGTAACTGTTGTCTGCACATAGATGATGAAGGGCAGGCAGTGGCTGAACTTACAAGCCACATGGTTAAATTTGTGCATGTACCTACTCAGGTCTGGAATGGGTATAACCTAAGTAGTTGGTTTGGAAGTTGGTATGAGCAGCTTGGAGGAATTAAGACATTAGTAGGAGGAGTAGAATTTATTATATATTTTTTTGTGCCTCCTCCTGCCCTGTCTAATTCCACTAGTGGTAAGGTCCCTACGTAGTATTATAGAGAGTACTATAGAGAGAAAGACAGCGGCTCATGTAATGGCTGTCTATAGATATGATCCCCGAAGAGAATATATGCAGGATGAAGAATGTTGAAGGAGTTTTTAAGATGCTTACAAGGTCTACTCTGGTTCAATGGCTACTTGAGAGATGTAGGTAAAACTGTGATTGGTGATGCATCTGGAATAATGTTATATCAGAGGCATCAAAGGGGGGAATGTGATGGGATTCCAGCATGGTCAAAATTTAGTAGGCCAAAATCTCCATGTGGCATATGTGTATGTTGTGTCAGTTGGTTAGCTACATGTAGCTAGGATACTGTCATCAGTGTACTGAGCATGTGCAGGAATGCAGGAACTGAAATTGCACTTATTTCCTTTGTCTTGGATGAGCCATGTGGTTTGACTAGATGTACAAGTCTATATTCTGCTCATTGATTGGTTAAAGGTATATGTGGGTGTAGCTATTAATGGGAGGAGTTATAGTGCTATATAAGGAATGTACACTATGTGTTGGTCTCTCAGATCTTTTGGAACAGGAGTTCATCTGAGACCCGATCGGTAATGTGAATAAAGGCCTGTTACTTTCTGAAGACCTGTGTCCAATATTTCTGTGTTTGGCTTCTGCATGCTTACACTGCAACAATGGTATGGTAGAGGGGGTGCAGAGCATCACATAACACCAGTGGAACCGGTGATGGACTGTAGGAGATGAGCAAACTGAATATAGTAAGCTGCCTGCTGCTGCCCTGCTTGCTCTTTTCATCTCCTCTGAGGCTCCCCTGACAGGTGGAAATCCAGGGACTGGTCACAGTTGCGACCTTTGTGACCTTGGTAGCTCCACCACTGCAGATACATTCTCAGGAGACACACTCTGGAGATAGGTGTCAGTATGAGCTGAACAAACTTGCCTCCTGTAATGTTAATCATCCAATTAATTTTCCCCACCCAGCCTGTTCAGAGGTGGCATAGACCTGGGGTGATATAGATTGCTATTGCCCAGTGTGTGTAGGCACAGAAGGGGTACATTCCATTATCGGTGAATAATTTATTACTACCATGTGATCTGATGGCTAATACTGGCACTTTCCCTTAGCATCTCCCATGCCCATGCTTACCTGGCACAGTAACAGCCTTTAATGATCACACAATGCTGGGTCTATTCTGGTGGGGCAATTACTTACAATTTATATCCCCATTGACATCACGCTTAAAAACATTCACGCTCCCTGCCCATCTCTGACTTTGATAAAACTATTTGACTTCACTTGTCCTGGTTACTCTTAGCTGGCCCACAGAGGCAGTTTTTTTATTTATTTTTTTTATTTTTTTGACAAAACTATTGCCGTAAATACCCTTCTTTACATTGATAAACCGATTGCCAGTATTCCCAAGGGATGCCCTGTTAATACAGCGCATGCAGGGCACTGGATATTGCTCTAGCAATAATAAGTGATACTCCTCACATGGGCATTTAGCAGCTGGTCACTTCTTATGTGTGTGCATCTCCAATGATGATAACTCAGGATGGACTACATTGTCCAGCATTGCCTCAAACAAGGGGTGCTTCACCTACTCCTCAATTTAGAAATTCCCCTCCCCTAGTACATGGTTACATAGTTTCAAAAGCTGAAAAGAGACGTGTTCATCAAGTTCAGCCTTCCTCACATTTGTTTTTTGCTGTTGATCCAAAAGAAGGCAAAAAAGTTTGAAGCATTTCCAATTTTGCAACAAACTAGGAAAAAAAAAATCCCTCTTGACCCCAGAATGGCAGTCAGATTTATCCTTGGATCAAGCAGTTGTTACCCTACATTGAAAAATTATATCCTTGAATATTCTGTTTTTGCAAGTATGCATCTAGTTGATTTTGAAACATCTGTATGGACTCCGATAAAACCACTTCTTCAGGCAGAGAATTCCATATCCTTATTGTTCTTACCGTAAAAAAAAACCTTTTGG